AGAGTAATGCCTGATAAGGTGGAAACAGAACAAGCTCTCTCTTCTAATACCTCTTCTCTCTCCCCTCTGCACTCTGCCCTCTGACCTCTCCCCTCTGACCTCTCTCCTCTGACCTCTCTCTCAAAGACATAGCAATCATGAAAACTCTCCATTTCCTTCTCTCCTTTATGTCTCTCTATAGCTCTTATCACCTAGTGTATTTTATCTATGCACACATGGGTATGTGTGCATGTATAAATAAGCACATTTATGTTTTTTTATTGCCACATGTCCCCTCTAGAATGTAAACTCCTTGACAAAAGAGACTTTGCATCTTTTTACACACTACTATAAGCCCAGCACCTGCAACATGACAGTCATTCCACAAATGTTTATTGAATGAATAAAACTACTTATGAGCTATGGGGCAAAACCTGTTTTAACATACAAATAACGCTTCTCAAAAAATGTTCCCCCAATACTGGTTTCCAAATCACAGATCCTCCATAATATTCCAAATAATATTCCCTTAATTAAAATGTCATTCCCTATACTTAATTCAGATGGTGCACCTTTAATCCATAAGTAAGTGGGTGCACATTTTATTACAGCCTCATAAAATGGACGGAAATAATAAGATAGCATCCAGAGACAGAGCCTAGAACATGATATACTCCCCACAGAAAATATCTCATGCTTGCAATAAAAATTGGTAATCAAATTTCAAGCCTCCAGAATGAAAGCTTATTTTTAAAGCAATCATTAAAACACAGTGTTGCATCTGACATGCACCAGAGCCTGTTTCTGCCTCGTTAACCTCTCTCATTATCTGAGTGTAAGAACTAAGAAATGGCGGCTCTACGTTAAGGCTCAGTGTACCTCTGCTTTCCCCCAGCTGCTCACGTCTATCGATCATGTTTTACTACTTTTATTGTTGTTTACACAAGTGGTATTCCAGTAATTTTTGAACCATCTATCTTCCTGGAAACATCTCAAGAAACTTAAGATAAAAGAATGTTGATGCTGTATTTCAGAAGCATGTCAGGATTCAATCCGTAAAATGAAAATGAGCAGGAAGTATAGGGGAAAAATCTATTTAAACTTTGGTAGGCATCATTCTCCAATTTAATTCCACTTAATTAAATGACACTATATGCTCTTCAGTCCAAGGGGTTGTTTTTTTTTTTAATACTTCTATGAGAATGCAAAGGTAACCACATACACATTCAAATCCAATGTGAAGAGGAAGTTAAAGATAACTCCATCGGTACCTAGAATTACAGAGCCCTGTAATTCTACTCTGTAGAATTACAGAGTAATTGAAAATGGAACTGCATTTTCAATTACTACCATTATGATTATGTATATTCAATAATTGTCAACAGAATAAGACCTGAGCAGATTGACAAATCCATTTAGGAACATAGCATTTATGACCAAACTGTTCCTAAATGACTCAGAAGTGAGTATCATTCTGGCCATCTCCTTAATCATTTCTACTTAACTTCTTATAACAAGCCTGATTTGATTTCAATATTTAATAACAGGATACTATTAATGAGTGTAGCCACATCATAATTACAGCAAAGAGTCATGAGGAAAAAGAATATTTCCCTGGACCTGGTCCAGCTTTCAAATCACTGTCCAAAGTCAAATTATATTTATATTTTTAGAGGAATCAAAATATATTTTTAGGTTATCATTACGTGTTCCTCCCCAGGGTTGTGCTGTCCTGTGCCTTCCCCGTGTTCCCTGAGGCACTGAAATGACTTAGGGTGAGGACAGAGGGAGGTAGAGAGATTGTTACACCATAGTAACAAGATTTGAAATAATAAAGTGCTCAATAAACATAAAGAAATTATTTGTATCGTTATATGCAAATAATTGCTCAGTCTCACTATATAATCAAGATGAGTACAGTTCTTCTTTCTTAAGCAACATCCTTAAGGTCCTGCTGCCTATATTCTGACTCATTTTTGCCCTTAAGTCATGATCTGATGTCCACTGTAATTGAATTTTACCTATGTAAACATGCTGTTCAAAGGGTACAAAGGGATATGTTCTTACTAACATCATGTCCTAGAAAAACAGCTGTGAATGTTGATCTAAATGCATACTGAGATTAATGTGACACAGAAATCATCAACATTAGGGCCGGCCGAGTGGCTCAGTTGGTTAAGAGCTCGCTCAAGAGTGTGAGCTCTGAGCAACAGAGGTTCGATTCTCAGCCTGAGCTGAGCAGCCACTGAGCTGCCAACAGGTGGCAGGATGGCTCATCTAAAAAAAAAAAAAAAAGAAATCATCAACATTAAGTAAAGAATATTGGGGAGGGGACGGACTTTAACATGTATGCAACCAGAAAATGGGGCCAGAACAATAAAAAAAATACCTTTGAAATTTCCCCTTGTTTCTCTGCAATAATAACCAGACATCCAAAAGATTAACAGGACATCTGCTCTGTCAGTGCCATGTTCAATGACGCACCGAATTAACATACAGGCTCTCTAAGGCCCAAGAGAGGTGGACAACTATAGTCACTGCTGGCGAGCTTGGTCGAGGAACTCTGGGATCTATCTGATGCTGAACACTCTCATTTGAAAATGAAAACATCCAACGAGTAAACCAAAGCGACGCTCATCCACCCCTGACTCCCTGAGCAAGAGTGAGGAGTCCTGGCTCACCGCACTCGGTACGTTCAGTTCCAAAGAACAGAGGGTTTTCTTAGAGGCTCCAAGTCTCTGCTCCACCACACTTTCACCCACATGGCCAGGGTCCCTCCACGTTTTCCATGTCTGACTAAACACTGCTCTTCTGTCAAAATATTACAGTAATGATAACAATAATAAAAATGTGTTGATCTCTTAATAGGCATCAAGTTTTTACACATTTTCATGGAATGTTCACAACATCCCATGAAGCAGCAGTTAATATTTACATTTTGGCATTTTACGGAGAAGAAAAGCAGCGTTTTTGAAGTAATTAAGTCAGTTGCACAAGTCACACGACTAGGAAGTGGCAGAGCCCACTGCCTTCACTACACTTCTCTGCATGTCTGTAGAGAGAGACGAGGGGCTGTAAGAGCCACTCGGTCTAAGTGTTTCATTTAACAAATCAGAGACTATAGATCTCATACTATGGCATTAGAGGTTTTTGCCCTGAGCCTGTAGGAATATATCACAGCATTTAACACACGGCCGCCCCAATCCTTGGCTTCCATGACTAACGGCCCTGGTTCTCCACTTACTACCGTTCTGTGTCTCTTGCAGACTGTTCATCACCCACTCACATCCTCAAGGTCCTCTCTGTCTGGAATTCCCATTCCTTCAGCTCTCCTCTGTGTACTTGTGATTTATATCCAACCGCAGCTTTGTCCAAGTTAAAGACTCAAAATTCCAGTTTCCAGCTTGCTGTCCCATAGACCCTCTGTACTCACCCACGTTCAAAATTTAAGTCCGTACTTCATACCAAATGGCCATCTCCTCCTGTTCTTTGCACCCTCTGTCTCCGCCCCAGTCAGAACCATCAGATTGGCCCCAATGTGACACGTTCTCCACCAAAGGCACCTCATCCATCCCTAAGCCAGTCAACATGACCTAAAATGTCTCGGGTCTGGGTGGCCCTCTGCAATCTGAGAGCCACTCTCCAGGTTCAGTTCCTCATTTTCTCTCCCATGAATGACGACAACAGCCTGCTCCTCATTGGTTCCCATGATCCACCCTCTTCCCACCTCTGATCTAATCTCCTCTCACCCATCAGTGCTACTCTCTTAAAAGAGATCTGACCTTTCCACCCCCAAGCCCACACTCCTTCCCAGCTACCTCAGAGTCAAAGCTAGCCCCCCGGGGCATGGCACTAAGGCCATTCTCTCTTCCCCAGTTCCCACCTTGCTCCCACCCTGCCCTCTGGAATCACTGCTATTCCCAGAATGCACTGCCATCCCTTTGAGTCTCATGTTTCCTCTTCTGTTTGGAATTAATCCCTCAAAACAACTGCCTTTTGAATTCCTTCTGGGCTTTTATACAAACACTATCAACACCATCAGCATTATCTTCCTAACTTACGAAAAGTAACATTTGTTGGTTAGGGAATTTTTCCAGGCTCTACATTTCATTCTCCCACCATAAGCCAGGTTTGCCTGGGGTAAGACGAGTGAGTCCCCAGGCCTCACAGAGACTTTCCCCAAGGTCAAACAGCGCGGTAATGAATATTCCCTTTCTAAATGCTCCCTATATCTTTCTTTAAATTACAAAAATAAATCTTTATTAAATAATACTCACTTAAGTGTATATGTTAATAGTATGAGGAATGTGCCCCAAAAACTTAAAGACATAATAAATCACCCAGACAATATCTTCTCTCACAGCCATCTCTTATTCATGTATTCAACTTATCATATTCAACCATTAATTCATGAGGCAAAGCAGAGCATTCAAATCATCCTAAACATTTTCTGGGTTTTTGTATTATTGGTGCACTTTCCCCAAGGATCCAGACCACGTGGATCTTTGCCTAACGCCCAATAATAGTAACATGAGAGAGGAACTCTAATCACAGGAAGTAGTATTGGGGGAAATGGTCCATTCCATTATCTATGTCAGGAAATGGGAGGTAATAGAAAAAAGTCCTCAACATTTGTGGAATTTGAGAACTCCAACTTTGAAACCGAATTTCAGACTAAACGTTCCAGAAAGAGAATTCATCAAAACTAATGAACATTTAATGAATTTTTAAGTAGTTTAGTTTAATGTGTTCATTCTTCCCACTCAGTTTATTTAATTCAGTGCTTCTTGTCTTGTTTTAATTTCACAAAAACTTTCAACAATTCTATGCATAGGTAATAAAAACATAACATGAGAAAGAACTTCTAAGAAGGCCAACAAATGACTCACCTCGGGGGACAGATGAACATCAGTGACCCACTTTCTATTATGCTCATGGCCTGAACAGACATATCCTTAATTTAAAAAATTATATCAAGGCAAAGAAATGGGGGGCTCCAGGCACTGGGCTTGGATACCAACCTCCTTTGCTCTTCCCCGTGCTCTCCTGAAGGGACAGTGAGGCATTCGTCCATGTGTCCATGCAGCAATCTGAGGACGTCACCACCAATCAGATACCCTGGAAGGATTGAAGCTCAGTCACATTTGAATCGTCATGGACAGATACCCGGCTCCCAAAGTCCCACTAGGAAACATGACCTCAACCCCGTAAAATTCCCCCAAAAACATACAGGTATGGACAGGCTCAAATTTGAACCTACGTTAATGACAATGACCTGAATAAATATAGGTACTTCCCGGAAACCCCGATGCGTAACCACTGCTGTGACCCAGCTCTAAGTCCCCCACCCTGGGAGATGAGAACTCCTGGAGTTAGCCTGAGCAGTACCCTGGGGCCAAAAGTCTGGAGAAAACAACCCCTAGAAAGCTAGCACATCAAATACACAGAAATAAGCAAAAGCTGACAGAAATAAGCAAAAGCTGACAATATCATGAAAATAAGAAAAGATAAATCTTGAAACAAACTTCACTTTTAAATAGCAATTTAAATGAGGGTCTCAAACGTCATGCATCTACACTACAGAATAGCCTGACACAAAAAAAGCGCCCAGGGACAGTCAGCTCTTTATCACAATTCCAAAGATGACTGTCAAGTCTGCGTCAAGGGCGATCCCTCTAGTGGGAATGGAGTTTTTACCTTGGGCAGCTTCGCTTCCTGAGCTGATGGGGGCCACGCTCCAGAGAGTCTGCTGGAAAGCGGCATCCACATGCAAGCTGCCGTTGCCGTAAGACAAGTGCTGTGTGGGAGGCAAATGAGGCATCACTTCGGGCTCCAGCTGAGTCTTAATACCTATGTGCTTCTGGCACCTCAAACCCAACGTCGCAGATTTGAAATGTGCACAGAGAACATCTATCTCAACCCAGTCACTCAAAAATGAAGAGACTAGCAGAAAAAAAAGTAGAGCTCCTATGTGACTTCAGGTATATTCCAGCATCATTCAAAGAGTTACTAACTTAAGCCACTAATCAGAAAACCCACAAACAAATGTACTAAAGTAAATTTACTTGTTAAAATAGACTATTTTGTTTTAAGCCTCATCGATGGACAAAACTGTACAAGTCGTGGGCACTTACGATTATGATTATAATAAGTTTTCTACATGTCACACTGGGACAGTTTTTGACAATGAAGTGGGTGAAATCTACAGGACCAATGTTTTGCAGGGGGCTTTAGGAACTTTTATCTGCAATTTGATACAATAGCCATTAGGTGGAGATATTTCTTAATAGGTATCTAGAACCAGGACTAAACATTCCCTCCAAAATAGATAGTACAAATTTCATATTTTCCTTCTTAAAAATAAAAATATGTTGAAATAATATCATATTTCATATCTTTTAGAGCCATAATGTAGGCGTTCTCAAATGGTAAGTAAAGTCATAAAACAAAATCATGTAACCACTCTAGAATTTTACTGCCAAACATCTTGATTATTTTACTGATCACCACCTGGCTGCCTCTAGAATTTCAAACACACATAGAACCACCACCGGTTTCCTTGGAGTCATCTCAGTAAACATCACCAACAACCCTGTAATGTTTCTGGAACACTTTTCCAATGCTGATGACATCCTCAGCTTTCAAAGATTTGAATTGCACCTGAGCCTCCCAGAAACCCAGGCCTCTGAATGAGATGAAAAGCATCAGAGCGGGAACTCATCACACTGGAGTACTCCCCAGGCCTTTCAACAGCCTCGGGGGCTCCTTCACCTTAATATACTATTCTCAAGTCACCAGCAAAAATAGGTTTCACCATCTTTCTCTTAAAAACAAAAAAAAGAAATGTTTCACATTTGACGTATATGTAGCTATCTTATCAATAACTTTTCCAATCAGTGAGATTAAAAGTTTACCGGGTCAATGCATCGGATTCCACAATTACTTCCTCTGACCCCCTCCTCATTGCAATGAGCTGTCTAATTTTTTGTCGCCTCTTCTGCGCCTCAGCCTGTCTTTCATTTGCAAATCCCAGCTGAGATTCCTTTATTGTTAAAATTCTTCAACTACTTACAAATAAATCATATGCCTCTGCCTCCACAAACAGAAAAAATATATCTTCCTTCATAGCAACTACCATACAATGTCATTTAGTGTATTTTTCTTTCTAACTCAGGTTCACAGCCATAACCCTGTCATCTAGCAGCTATTCAGTAAAAAAAAGTACGTGGAAAAGCCAACCAAACCTTTAAAGTCAAGGTAGCATAAACCTAAAAAATATGTTAGCTATTCCACAAATACACACATTTCAATGACCTGAGCCAAAACAGTGTAAGGGCGCGCGCGCGCACACACACACACACACACACACACACACACACACACACACACCTCTATAAATCCATATGGATTTTACTAAACTATGAGCAGATGATTCAAAATACCAATGCTTACATTTTTACTTTTGAATTCAAGTGAAACCTCATGCCATATTATGACAGATTATCATCCTTTATTAATTCATCGTGGTTCACTGACTATACTTTGTATAAAGCATTGTGCTAAATATTAATAGGACACACTCTCCACCCCAAAGGTGCTTGTAATGAAGACGAGAAAGTGAAGTATATACACAGAACACTACAAGTCAGTATTAAAACGTTAGGTGAACTGTAATCCAAGTGCCACAATAGAGAAAAGAGAGTGCGTTAGCCAGCCTAACTGAAACAAGTCACCGTGCTGGGCTGGGGCACAGGTGGCATTTCCATGGATGACACGGGTTTCAGGCAGGATTAGGGCCTGAGGAGACAGTAGAATTATTTGGCCTGGGCCTCACATTTATATGTTGAGAGACGTTGTCTCCAGATACGTCTGTACGTACGCTGGATCTGGGTGTGCGCATTAATCATGCTAATGTGCGAAGTGTAAATATTTAAAACATACCAACATTTTTATAAACCAGTTTGGAGATTTTCAATTTTAATAGACCAGAAACCACGTGATTGGAACTGGCCTGGGCCTCTAAGAGGCTCTGACAAGGGGAATGGTGTAACAGAGAGAAGAGTGCACACAAAGAGGCAGAGATATGGGGACACAAAGGACAGAAGAATTTGTTTGGGGGGCATACCGCACCCACTTAGACACAGAGTGAGAGACAGGCCTACAGACGCCAGGTCACGGGCTTATACTTTAGGCAATAAGGAGTCACTGCAGAGAAAAACTAATAAACATGATGAAACATAAAATTACAAAGACTTCCATCTGTGGGACAAAGTCCAAAAATGTCCTTAAGAACATATTACATCATAAAAAATACCTAAACAATGTCCTTGCTGCTCAGGAAAATATTCTCTAGGCATAACCGTTTTTTGAATGCTTCTATTTAGTGTTGCTGCTTAAACAGCAAAGGGAAATCGGAGTAAGACCAAGGTCAAGTCAGGCCTGTGGTATTAAATATTCAGAATGCAGAACCATTGCAATTAATTCATTGAAACTAAGATGAGTTGTCCTTAAAGCAAAAAGAGTTCCCAGCGGTCAGAAGCCAAGTCGGCCTCAGGCTGACCTATGCGAGCACTCTGGAATTCCCGTGATAACATGGGAGCATTGAACCCCAGCAGCTGTGCTGGGCCTCTGGGCAGCACCTGCCCCCCACACACCTTGAATCTTACATTAGTGACTTTCAAGCTCTAATACTCATAAGAATCATCCGAGGATCTTGTCCAACAATGCAGATTCGAATTTGGGATGCAGCAGGGGTGGGGGGGGGGCCAAGGCTGCTGGTCCAATCACAGTGTTTTGATAATAAGACATTATATGACAGAAAGCACAGTATCTCAGCAGTAGGGAGCATGTTATAAACCACCTCTCACGGCTTCTTAACCTAGACTGCACTTTGATACTTCAAGCTCCCTTTGTAAATCTGCGTTATTTATTTTATACATTTGAAAACATGATGGCAAGGGCTCGGTAAGCTTTATCAGACTGCCAAAAAGATTCATGGCACAAAAAAATCTTAAGAATATCTAAATTCAACCGTTCCCTGATGCATTTATTATTTACTCATTTATTTCTGTCTTATTAAGTGTCAGGCACTTGGGCCCTGGCGATGCAACACTCTGAATAAATTATTTGGTGACAGAGACACAAGTAAATAAGATACATCACCCCTTGGGTTTCATTGCTTTTTCTTCTGAGAAAAAAATGAAGGGCATAAATAGGTGCTCTTTTCAAACGTAATATTCTTTGACTCCATCACCTGAGCAGAGAGGAAAAAAGGCTCAAGGCAAATCAATCAAAACTACATTGGCTGATATAAAAAATAAATGGAAAATATATATGATCCTGCCTTTTTAGTTATCAATATTTTAGTGCAACTTGAGGCAATTTAACAATTTATTATGCAATCAACACACCTTGTATTTCTTATCAGAAATTCAGAGGTGGGTAGGAGAGAGGTAAATTTTTATGAACCCTAAAATAGCTTTCATTGAAGCATTTTTTCATCACTCTTTAGATTGTAGGGTTCTATCTTTCAGACACTTGTTAGTTTGGTAATGTTTTCATGGATCTTGAAATCTCTGTTTCTATAGGTGACCTAACCAATAAAAAATTAACCAAAAATCAATGTCTGCAATGTAAGCAATCCAATCTATGCATTGAAAACATCTATGCCAGCGGTTCTCAACCTGTGGGTCGCAACCCCTTTGGGGGTCGAACGACCCTTTCACAGGGGTCGCCTAAGACCATCGGAAAACAAAAATACATTTACATTATGATTCATAACAGTAGCAAAATTATAGATATAGAGTAGCAACAAAAAATAATTTTACGGTTGGAGGTCACCACAACATGAAGAACTGTATTAAGGGGTCACATCATTAGGAAGGTTGGAAACCGCTGGTCTATGCATACTGAAGAAGTTTACCTCTAACAAGTAAAAATTGTTTTGTATGCTTTACCTTATTTTGTTTAGTATGAAATAGATTTACTAACATTCAGTAATACCTACTTGGCCACATTTTCTCTATTGTAAATAGTATATTTCTCTTATAGGTGTACATCATAATGATTCAATATTTATATACATTACTAAATGATCGCTATGAAGTCTAGTTACAATCTGTCACCATACAAAGTTACTATGGTATTGTTGACTATATTCCCTATGTTGTACATTATATCCTCATGACTAATTTATTTTATATCTGGAAGTTTGTATCTCTCGATCCCCTTCACCTATTTTGCCAAACCCTTCCCCCTTTGATAACCAACAGTTTGTTTCCTGTATCTACAAGACTGTTTCTGTTTTGTTTGTTCATTTGTTTTATTTTTTTAGGTTCCACATAAGTGAAATCATACAGTACTTGTCTTTCTCTGTCTGACTTGTTTCACTTAGCATAATACTCTCTTGGTCCATCCATGTTGTCCTAAATGACAAGATTTCATTATTTTTTATGGCTAAATAATATTCTCTGTGTGTGTGTGTAACATATTCTTTATCCATTCACCTATCAATGGACACTTAAGTTGTGTCTGTATCTTGGCTATTGTAAATCATTCTGCAGTAAACACAGAGGTTCATATAACTCTTCAAGTCAATGTTTTTGTTTTCTTCGGATAAATACCCAGAAGTGGAATTTTTGGATAGTATGGTAGTTTTGTTTTTAATTTTTTGAGAAATCTCCATACTGCTTTCCATAATGGATGCACCACACTCCCTGATTTCAATTATATTATATATTATATTATATATAGCCTTATATATTATAAGGCTAATAATCAAACAGTATGGTATGGTACTGGCATGAAAACAGACACACAGATCAATGGAACAGAATAGAGAGCCTGGAAATAAACCTATGCATATATGGTCAATTCATCTATGACAAAGGAGGCAGGGCTATACAACAGGGTAAACACAGTCTCTTCAATAAATGATGTTGGGAAAACTGGACAGCAAAAGAATGAAACTAGACCACATACAAAAATAAATTCAAAATAGATGAAAGACATGAATGTAAAACCTAAAACCATAAAACTCCTACAGGAAAACATGGGTTGTGATCTCTTTAACATCAGTCTTAGCAAAATTTTTTTTGACCAGACTCCTTAGGGAAGGGCAATGAAATCAAAAATAAACAAATGGGACTACATCAAACTAACAAGCTTTTGCACAGTGAAGGAAACCATCAACAAAATGAAAAGACGACCTACTGAATGGGAGAAGATATTTGCAAATCATGCATCCGATAAGGTGTTACTATCCAAAATATATAAAGAACTCATACAACTCCGTAGCAAAACCCCAAACCATCCTATTGAAAAATGGGCAGAGAATCTGAAAAGACATTTTCCAAAGAGGACATACAGATGGCCAAGCATTATTTACAATAGCCAAGATATAGAAGCTTCTTTAAAAGAAAAAATACAATAAAACCTTGGATTGCGAATAACGTGGTTTGCGAGTGTTCCACAAGATGAGCAAACATTTCTAATACATTTTCACGTGGTAAACGAGTGATGTCTTGCAATATAAGTAGTTTGTTTCTGGAATGAATTACGCTCACAAACCAAGGTATTACTGTAGTTCCAATAGGGGCAGAGAAATTATTTTTCCTCTTAAAAACCCTCATGGAGACCCAGGCACCGCGTCTGATTGCTCCCACTCTTCTGCTTACATGTTCAAATCGACATGTCACATTTTTCTAGGAATAAAAGGTCTTATCACCAGAAATGGTTGTAAACCACTCATCCAAATGAAGTCTTTTCTTGTCTTGCTGTTTCATATTCTAATATGAAATGGTCTCTTAATTTTCATAAAGGCTTCTTTGACCAGCTGACACACTTGCATTGTCCAAGAATATGCTTGGTGCCTGCTTGAGGCCACATTGGTCAAAAGACAAAAGGAGAAACCTGCTTCAGGTCCCCGGCAGCGAGGCACCATCAATGGCCCATTAGAAGCCTCTGTGAGCTCCATGAACGCTGTCTCATGAGTTCTGTCTTCACCACTACTCCTTCCACAACGCAAGTGAAACAAACCTGTTCTCCCTAGAAATGTTTCAGAATTGGAACTAAATGGGCCAGTAAGCAAAAACTGACTTGCGAGACCCTCAGACCCACTCTGTTCCCATGTTGTTCAGAGGGGTACCCACTACTTACTTAACCCTAAGTCAGGTACACACAAATAATATTTTGATTTATGCCAGTGGGAATGCCCTTTCTATGAGCCAGCATGGGCTCAACTGCAGCAACGATCATTCTCCATTTCTGACTTTTGTTTCAGTCGTCATCCACTATGACGCCTGGGATTCTTTTGTGCAGGTATTCACGTAAATTTTTTAATGCCCCATAAATAGAGGTATGGGTTTGTTTGTAAACAAATTTCCTGGATAATGTGCAATCTAAACTTTAAAGGGGTAATTTTATTGACCTGTCATTTATCGTATCACCAAGTCCATGGTGCTGTTTCCACACTTACCAAGTACCTTTCAGAGGACACGCTCACTAAGATGAGGTCATCTCCAACCCGGACTTTCTCTCCTTCTGACCGCTGTTTAGAGGCAGGGTGTATGGTCCACCAACAAGCCTCGCCTGCAGAACCAGGGGAAGTGAAAACATGGAGAGGGGACTCTTAGTTTAAGATCGAGTTTCTTTGCCAGCGACTAATAAATGAGGGAAATGAAATAAATCCTTAGAATTATTCTCCTTAAAATGAAATTGTCCTAGACACACAACTGTTAGAAATTTGAAAATTAATGCAAATTAATCTCTTAGACCGTGAAAATAAAAATAATTAGATCAAATTAACTTAGGATAAGACACACTGAAATGCCAAAGCTGCTCATACAAGTAGTTGGGATATTTTGGGAAGTGTGGTGTCTTTTCCTACTAAGAATTGCTTTAAAATGTATGCTAACATAAGGCCAAATTCACCAGTCATGTCACTCCATTCTTCATATGATCACACGTTAGTGCTCTGTTCATATCTCTCTGTAGTAACATCTAGTTTTTCACCGATTTATTTTCAAAAGGACTTAGGGTTTTGTGATGTGACACTGGCATTATAACAATTTGAAGAACTCTCCTTTTTTGAGATGCTGATTTAAAATGGGTGCAATTATTATCTAAATGTTACTAACCTGTACCTTATTTTATTTTAAAATGTGGAAGTTTCTAGTCATCTATGAGTGAAATATAAGAGAATCCTACTATAGAAGTGTATATTATAAAAATATCTGGGTATAATAAAATAACTTCTTCTGGAACAAGTCAAGCATTCTTCCTTCTTCAGTCCTATTACCTAAGACATAAATTTAGCATACTATTCTTCAGCCTGTTCATAATTCCTTTTAAAACCTACATGGAAGTTCTATCCAAAAATAAGAATAGTTTTAGCGATATGTTATCTAATAATTTTCATTCTCTCCTTTTGCCCAGCTTTATTATTTTTTCCATAACACCTAATTTTTTTTCCTTCTAATTCCCCAATGCCACAGTGTAAGTTCCATAATATCAGGGATTCTTCATATTTTGTTCCTTGGGATTTTCCCAGACACCAGCATTTTTGTTTTCAATGCTCTGACACTCAATAAAAATTCATTTTGCATAAATGAGTAAATGAATTAGCAAATAATATGTCTTAATCATGTTTACAATCATTATGTCAGCTCTGCCTTGAGCTGCTTTTCTTATGCAAACCACAGTCTTATTTGAATGTCACATTGTGGAATTTCTAATCTTCCTTCATTCAATTCACATTTTTAGAGTTTTAGGGAGTTTTTCATTAATTCACTGAAACATTAATAAAGCACCTACTATTTGTCAATCATTGTAACCATACCTGGGGATACATTAATAAACAGGGAAGAAAATGTTATCTGCCTCATGAGTTTAGTTCTGATCAGGCAGGCACACCACAGGTGATAAATATAATAAGTACTTCCATAACTCAGAAGCAGTAGAGAGCTCTGGGGGGCAGTAGCACGAGGGATCTGGGTGTTAGGGAGAGGGACCACCTTGTCAATTTTACAGTCATCTCAATGTGTGGAAACAACTTATATATCGTGCATGTCTTGTACTTCTTTTGAGACAGAGAACTAAATACTTTCTTTTTTATGTAATTGCATGCAGAAGCAAATTAATTACAATGAGAAAACTTTAAAAATACTAGCAAACATGCAGAGAATTTATTGAGCCTACAAAAAATGAAATACAAATCAGAATAATACATTTATCTTTTTGGTGCCTGGGATTCTTAGAATTTCATGTACAAGGCAATGTGTTGATCCATTAAAAAGTTCACTAGGTTGGTAAATATCAGCTTTATTTTTATGCGTTTTTAGTCTGTGAAAAATTTAGAGTATGGAAAAGTATTTTTAAAAGTACTTTAAAAGGGAGTATGTGAAAGATAGCTTGATCCCACCCATGAAAGGAACAACTGAATAAGAGTTGGTCTATTTCCTTCTATTCTTCATTCTACTTGGTCTTTTATTTATTTTTAATTCCAAAACTCATGCATTCTCATAGTAAAAGGTAAAACAGTCAGACTGTACAGAAGAGTATAAAGTATAAATTCAGATCATTGAGAATAAAAACACAAAGCTTAAGTTCTCCTATTTTAATTCTTTGAATGGGTAAACAATTTAATTACATATTTTTTTGCAAAAATAAATAAATACATATCTGTTTGGATGGATATGTAGCTCGATGCTCTGTGGACTGAGAAATGAAGAAGACTTTCATTTTCTACCTTTCTGAATGAATGTTGACATTGAGTATGTTACATTTTTAGACTTAAAAATACTTTTAAGATGAAAGAGATATGCAGTAATACTTCATAAACTAATCAGTGCATATCAGTATGGTTAACAGCCAGTAAATCTTGTAGTAAGTACTGTTTTTCTATCCAAATCCATCAGAAGATAAGGTTTAAAGTTTAGCTTGCGCATCCAGCAAATTATGCAGTAATGACAAGCAATAAGAACAATGTACACTTCCTCCCTCTACTAAAATCTTCCCTTAGCAGTCATTCATTTTTCCCTGATTGCATCCATATGGACATCCATCTAATGTATCTTCTATCATCACGTGACTTCCTCCAATCCACTCCCACCATGCTGTCTGATCACAGCTTCACCGTGGACCAAGGTGCTCACCTGTGGTGTCCTCTTGCAAGCCAACATCAAAAGCCAGCTTATCGGTGGAAGACTGGGAGGTGGACAGGCAGCACAGGTACTAAAAGACACAGAGTCAACAGCTGTCACAAAACATTCATAGGTCTGCGCAAGTCTAATTTGGACACATAATGTGGTATCAGCCTATCTCTGCTGTGTCAGCCTTTCCCTTCAAATATTGCTGCATCTGCACGAAGCCCAGGTGCGTCACTGTGAGGAAGGAGAGGACCCACGCAGCATTCATCAGGGGCAATGTTCTCAAGGAAATGCGGGCTTGCTCCCCTTGTAAAAAGACTGGAGGGGGAAAAAAAGACTAGGGAAATGTGTCCTTCCGTAGAAGAAGACAAGACCGGGGATGTGTTTGTCCATCTCTCACTCATGTGATGTTCATGATCAGAAGCAGAAGCACAACCTGACCTGACACTTAGAAATCTTCCTCCCAAGCTGAAATTGGAAAACTATTCACTTTTTTCTTCTAGCTGTATTTTCATTTCTTCAATTTTTAACTCTCTGAAATTCACCCAGAATTCATTTGGGTGATCAAAATGTCACCTCACTGAATTGCAGTTTTATCATGTGTATACACGAGTGTGTGATCCTAATATTAATCCAACTCTTGCAACCCCATCATCTCCTGACTTCTTTCCATCCTCTTAAGTTTTCCTAACTGTATATTCTTGGACACAAAGTTTAGAATCATTTTTCAGCCCAATTCCCGTATTGCTGCCCCAACCTCAAAAACCTTGTTAAGTGTTACAAGAATGAGGAGACACAGGTGAATGTGGCATGAGCGCAAGGTAATCTGCCAAGTACACCCACCAAGTGCACCATCAGCAAGAACAGGGGCCCTGCAAAGAGGACGGAGACCACCCAGGAGTCTGAGCAATTCCAGACCTCCCAGAATCACTGGTCAATTAATGCAAAGCCTAGAAAATTCCTACTAGCAAAGTGGGTCCACCCAGCTCAGTGGGTGTCTGTGAGTTGGGTGAGGCAGGAGATGAGCTGATCAAGACAGGTTTCCCACACCTGGCATGTCAGGTTGACGTTGGTGCCATGGGATGTAAAATCAAATTGACCTGGAGGCTCTGAGCCTATTGCCCAATTGTAAAGCACTGGCTCCCAAAATTATAAAAAAGGTGCTTCAAGGGCCCCCCTACCATGTTCTTAGTTAATGTAAGAGTGTGAGTCTGACTTCAAGACAGGCAGCCCATAGTGGTCCCTGAGGTTGACAGGCTTAGAGCTAAACGTATTCAATGTCTGCCTTTATCTGAGAATAAGTAACAATTTTACAACAGTGACTTCTCAGGCAAAAAAAAAGTGGTCTGTATTCTAGTCTTCTGTAAAATTTCTCAACAATATTACCATACCAGGCACTGTAACTATTAATGTGCATTCTCTCCTCCTCTAACGTCCACAGTAACTGTGATGTAGATACTGTAATTATTCCACTAAATGGTAATTAAGTTCTATAAGGGCAGGGCTTGGTCTATTTACTATAATATCCAGCACCTACAACAGTGCCTAGCATACAGTAGATGCCAAATAATAGTTATTGAATGAATGGGAAATTTTCAGATGCAATTACAGGCTTGCAGAGGTTCAGCCAGGACTCCAAGGCTGTGCAGCATGAGAGCAGCTGAATGCCAACCTAGATCTCCCAGCCAGGTCCAGGCTCTACACTTTCTGCTACAGACAGAGTGGTTTTCTTAAAACAGACTCTCACATTTATTATTTCATGCAGTTTATGTGCTTTGATTGCTATTGAAAATGGAATTCTTTCCATGAAGTTCTAATGTGTGCTTACTACGTGCAAACAGGTTGTTTTCAATCTGTTTGTCTTGCATCTAGCCATTTTATTAATGTTTTCCTCTATTTTATTTCATAGTTGCTATTTCAGCCAAGATTTCCACACAGTGTTAAATAGCATATTCTTGTTATTCTTTGTTTGTTTTTGTTCCACCAAAATGGCTCCAGTGTTTGACAATTAAGTATGATGTTGGCTATTAACCTGACATTGATATTCTCTTTATCATGGGAGAAATGATCATCAATGCTTAGTTTTTAATAGAAACAGTTGTTGAGTTTTAAAATCTTTTTCACGGTCTGCTAAAATGATCGTAATTTTTCTTCCTTGACTTATTTATGTGATATTGCACAGAAACAGAAATAGTATTGTTAAGACATCATTAAAATCATATCTATACTTTTCTTATATTTCTCTTCATGTACTTTTGAATCCCACTAACCAGACTTTTCACACCAATATTCTTGACTGAGATTGGCAGGGTTTTGTGTGTGTTTTTTTTGTTGTTGTTTTGTTTTTGAGTATTGATATTATTGAGGCTATGCTTGGCCTCCTGCCCTGGAACAGTTTGCAGATTTGGGGAATTATCTCCCTCTTAAAAGGATTAATGAATTATATTTTACTTTCAGATATTGAACTGTCACGTAGTCACTAAAATTGGGTTAAAAATTTAAATGACATGGATAATGCTTAAGCTGTATTAATATGTTAAAAAAAATAAGGATATAAATTTGGTAATGTCGTAAAATCTCAGTTATGAAAAATAATTTTAAGAACAGAAAGAATTAAAAAAATTTTTCAGTCCCTAATTTTCTCTCATTGTTGTGATCATAAAGAATTTCTTCTTCTATAATTTTGAAACTTTGTAGAGTGAATGTATTGTTTTTAAAATTTAATAAAGCTTTAGAAGAATGGGATAAAAATTTTATATATTTTACATACTTTATACATATAAGTATAAAAATATACATAAGTATCTATAAGTACATATAGGAGAGAATAAGTAAACCATGTCAGAGAGGCACCTTGGGGATAATATGGATAATTGGGAGAAAGGAGGAACTGATATGGAAAAAGAAAGCAAACAGCTAGTTAAGAAGGAAAGGAGTAGAAAATTGACAGTGGAATCACAAGCAGATTTTCTTTATATTATAATATCTTTCAGTAGGGATATTTTAATTATTTCATACATCAACATTTTAAAACAAAATCAGAAATGAGAAATATATCTTATTTTACTCTTAACATTTCTCCTCAAACTAGTCTGTCAAAAGTAAGATGCTAAAACTAGGAGTCATACTCGTATAATGGTAGAACTGAAGGACCTTAAAGGTCATCTAAGCTATTCCCCATCTTATAAATGAGAAAACAGGGTACAAAAATGTTAAAGAACACAGGTACCCAAGCTCACTGAGGCCACCGCTGTGATGCTGTTACCAACATCTCCTGACTTCGGATGCCCAAATGGACAGGCATGACCACACGGGAGATGAAACCAGCGCCTACTCACCATGCTGCTGTAGGAATGGCGCAGCAAGATGGCGTGTCCATAGAGGAGGGTCCGATGACCACCGCCTTGAGCAGTCTGGGGAGGCAGGAGAAAGGGCCGATGAGAAAAGAAAAACCAAAAGAGTAAAGTTAACTGAGTCAATAAAATGTTGTCTTGCCCTCAAGAAAAAGTTAAGGGCTGTTACAGACAAAGATGCTCACATGGAAGAAAGCTACCGAGGGAACCCATACTGTAGGGTGAGCAGTTGATCTAGTTCTTGAAGAATGAGCTGATTTCAGTAAATACTTGCCATAATGTGTAACTGTTTATTCATAGTTACTTATTGTCTGTATTTCCCGTTGCATTGTGGTCTGCATTGGGTAGGGACTACGGCACTTCAGTTACCACTGTATCCAAGGTGCTAGCAAAACGCCAGACACACAGTAAGGACCGAATACTTTTTCAATGAATGAGTCTTCCTAAAACACAAAATTGATCAAATCATCTGCCTGCTTAAAAACCTTCCAGAACTTCCAACTCTTTACAGGGAAGACTCTAAACTCCTTGATGTGAAATAGAGAACTTCTCGGATTTTCGCATGCTTAGGAGTCACCTGGAGAGCTTGTTGAAACCAATTCCTGGGCCTGCACCTGAGACTCTGACTCAAGAGGACTGGGGTAACAGAGAAGTTGCATTTTGAAAATGTCCCAGGTGATGTGGTGCTGTTGTTGTGGGGCCACACTTTCAGTAGCACAAGCATAGAGAACATTTCGTCTTGACCCTTCCTGGCCTCCTCCCCGAACTCCCTGTGCTCCAGCCACATACACTGACTCTGCACTGAACTCCTGAACTCACCATGCTGCTTCTGGCTGCTGTGTCTGAGGACAGGACGTTCCTGCCCTCTGTAGTCTTTTCTGTCTTATAAACTGTGCCTGAAAACTCAGGTTAAAGGCTACCTCCTCCAGGAAACCTCATCTGGTTCCCTCCAAGTTACCTGCTTCCTCAGCACTCCTGCAGCCACAGGTATGCATCGTACCTGCAGCCCCAGGTATGCTCTCCTGGACCAGACTGCGCAATTCTCAAGGGCAGGGACCAGAGCTCTCAGCACAAAACACTCAGTTAACATTGCTGAATGAAAACTGGTGTGGGAGCCAGTCCAGGCTGTGGTTTACAATCCCACATGTTAAGGAAGAGGAGGGACCACGACTGCTGCTGGGTCTGAGAGAAACGTAACAGGATCCATAAAATTAGATCAGGGTAAGACTGTGGAAGGTAAATCAAATTATGTCAAGGAGTTCACACTTTTTTTCTATAGGGAAAGAATTTCTTTAAGGATGTTAAGGATGACTGGTGATCTTGACCTATATATACCTCAAGAAGTACAGAATAAAGTACTTTAGTATCAATATTATTATATCCTTTCTACTAAAAATAGACCCCCTCCCTACTGTTCCATATAATTTCTTAAGATAACTTTATTTACATGTTATGCTTGAAAGATCTCAGAACTATTCTTAAAATAGATATTACAAGGTATACAAATTATAAGAAAAACAACTTCATTTACCTTGTCTGGTTTGGGTTACTTTGATAGGAGCTTAACTTTTCATATCAGACCTAAGTTCCAAAGCTATGAAATCCAGCTGCACTTTAGTGACAACTGACAGTGACATCAGTCAAATCACGGTTTTTTAAAATGAAAGATTTAACCAAAAAGTATTAAGTGTTCCTTTTACTGTGAAGCTTTGCCTACGCATTTCATATGTTTATATGAACATATAAGAGTATATATATGAATATATACAGAGGGTGCCAAAACAATGTATACAGATTTTAAGAAAGGAAAAAACTGTATTAAAATTGTGATACAATGAATGACACTGCCATTCATTTGATTAACTCTGTCTTTTGAGTGAACGTCATACTACACATTGTTACTGTAATTCAATTCAAGTTCGAAGTGATAATACACAGCTAACGTCTTTTAAAAGGTGTACATTTTTTTTGGCACCACTGGTATAAAAAAAGTTCAAATTGGTTAAGCTAAGAAGAGATAGTTTAGTGTCTGAATTTTCTTTCAACTATAGGTTTTACACAAGGAGACAATTACAGGTTTTACAGTAGAGATTTCCTCACCACTTAAATGCTAATTAATGCCACAGATTTAGTTTGAACAGAACAATTGTATAAGTATGCAAATCACCCACACTAAATTAATTTTGTTACTAATTGTGTCACTTAACAAAAAGTGAATGTAATTTCTGTCCCATGGGCTGCAGTGCTTTTCCTCTGACATGTCATTTTAAATGATATTTCTCGAACTGATTCTGATTCAGAAAAAATAAATGGTGTCATTTCCATTTTGGGATAGGCTGGGTCCCTTGTTCATTCAACAAACATTTCTCAAAAGGACTGTGTGCAGGGAATGCATTCAAAGGGGAAAATGGTTCTTTTCTGTGTTTTTTGGTTTGATCAACCACATCAATTTTCTTGTTAAATGTGGCCAGGTCCTTGTTTAAATTTATGGACTTCCTCAGATATAGGAAACTGCCTGTACTTTATGAAGATGGTTGTACCAAACACTGGCCAGCCAATCCTGGGGTTATTCCTTCAAGATTCTACAACATCCTGCTTCAGGTGAGCTGCTCCCCCTGAGCAATTTCAATGAGAAAAGGATCATCATTGCTGGGCAACTGACACATAAAAAGCAGTGAAAATTCATTCTGCTGGAACAGGGTCCATTATCCCTCTAGCCACCCAAACCTAAACCTATAGGCACACAATGATTTGACCATAACGTTTGGGAAGCCAGCCAGGACCAAGTAGACAAGAGCCAGTCAAGCTAATGGGGCAGGAAGCTCATGGCTGGCCTGCCTTCAACATCACATTTTGGAAAATGTAATCCTGGTACTTTTGGAAGTTAACTTGTTAATTGTTCCTTGGAAACCTCAAATGTGGGTAAAGTAAACAGTGCTTTCAATTGCACCAGTTAAAGGGGGAATTAGGAGATTAAATTTTACGTACTACATAAACCTTCAGTTCACATGAATGCCACCTACACTTGAACTAGTCCTGCTAATTCTCCAATAAATATTACACAAAAGAAACACTTTCCTATTTATCGAAAAATATTTATTGGTGTCTACTGTCTGAGAGGTACAGTACCTGACACCGAGGGTAGGATTACACAGAATAAGCTCACAGCCTGTTTCCTCTGTCTTGAGAACAAGAGCTTCCTTTGAAAACTCTAATTACTCATTCACTCAACAATTTTATGAATCCCATCCAATTTCCTTGAAACTATTTGCACAACTACACATATCAGCAAAGAAACTGGAAGATTAAGAACTAATTTTTTGTATATTTCTTAATACCTCCAACCATAGGATAGATGATCAGGACCGTCCAGTAAAATTATTACCTGGAACTTATGTGTCCTTGAAACACATTGCTAAGTGTGACTCAGGCCCCTTCTGTCCACAAAAATGCAACTGTCAGTCCACCACTCCCAGATCCCCTCCTGTGACTAGTGGAACCTGTGCTGCCGTGAGCTGTCACCAGCCCTTCATGGTCCCTCTGCAGGACCAGGACTGTGACGTCAGCTTCTGCTAAACTACTCTAGTCTCTGCACACGATGGGGGTGTCTAGGTTAAGGAGCCATCACTCTCGTAAGGGATGAAAAACAACAATGGCAACTAGCATTTCCAAACTCCTCTCCCTGAATATTTCTGGTACTGCAGAGTCACGCATCATTTAATAAAAGGGAAAATTTGACTTTCTGAAAATATCAGTAAAAATATTTTTCAGACTGTATGAGCGTTTGGTTTCATTACCCTTGAGAGGACCGACAGTGCTAATGTTACATAATAGTGAAAATAAAAAAAAAAAAACTCATGAACCATAGTGGATAAAGAAGTCCAGAATACATTTGAACAAAACCTACGCAATACTGCAGTATGTGTCTAAACAAACCTCGCCTCAAGCTTTCCACAAATTATTGTAATATTAATTTAGTGTTATTAAGCTTCCCTATGCCTCCAGCTTTTCAGGATCTTGCCAAAAATGTAAGTAAAAGCTTTCATGTAAATGTTCTGCATTTACATTTATCTAGAAAAACATGCAATAATAAAGCATAACTTGCTCATCTGTTATCTCTTTTGGGGGGAGGGGAAAGTGTATCACTGTAGCTACATTCAAGATATTACCGGCAAACGCTTAATGTGTAACAGCAAAAAAGCACAATATATAAAATGAGAATAGTAATGACTTGGATCAACTAAGGCGGTTTATACACACGTGGGAATTACTAGCTCTGTGTTTTATTGTTTTGAGGGATTTCTGGATCTGTGTTTTTTTCAATACATGTTTGTACTATATATTTGCTTATTAACATGTCTCTGGTGCTATTGCTGTTTAAAGTTAATTTACTAACTATATTACTTCTAAATATTTTAAGGTTTTCTGTTCTTCTAATCATTTTTTCTGTACGAAAAAGGCTACATAAATCAGTGTAGGACATTTCTCATAATTTCAAACCCTTATTATGCAAGGGTTTTGTCTGTTTTTTTGTTTGTTTGTTTTTAATAAATCAGACTCTACAAGAGAACTCTTCTATATTCCTTGACTGCTAAACCTTAACATGCCATCTTAGACGTAAAGGGATGAAATCTTAAAAGGAGTTTATTACTGCAGGTTACACTAAGCTACACTTCCCAAGTTAAAACAATAGACAACAAAAAGAAATTTGCCTTAGGGAACTTCTTTCATGGTGCTCTGATGTCTAACTTACCTTAAATACTAACAGTAATACCTGGGCACTGAGTTGTTTCAGGGCGAGAACTATGTCCATGCTAAGTCTTCACATCATCTTGAGAATGGCCTTCCCACCCAGATGTGACCAGCACAAGATCACCTGCACAGAGCTGCTGAGCCTGGTATTCTGGTCTTCCTGTAGGTCCCTGACAGCCGGTGGTACTCAAACCCTGCCCCTTTTAGAGAGAATCATATAACTGATTCACAGGATGGTTATAATGATCAATGAGAAATCTGCCTTTAGTACAAAATAAACGCAGCTGACAAAGCCAGCTGAATATCGTCAAGACAGACACTTGGCATTGGAGGGCTCACTTGTGACTGTGTCTTTAACCAAAAGTCTCCTGAGGGAGCAGATCAGGCAGGTGATGGGACTAACCATTATTTAGCACCAACAGCAGGAATGGGCTCCCGCCAGAAGCTAGCACCTGTCTGGTTCCAATAGGCTATGCAACACCTGTCCAGGTAGGAAACCCAAAGCAAATCATGACTGAAAGGTGAAAGCTGAATACAAGTTAGCATCCTTTTCCTTTAAAGTGGTTTAAATTCTTCTAAGGCACATGCCCTCCGCTTAATCAAACTCTAACTTTCCCAGATGAGGCAATGCCGGGCAGGCATGAAAATAAGTCACTTGGCATCTGGCCTTGCAGTTAAAAGGAATCAGAGCCTAATGACATTATTTTAGGAATCCCACCTGGTTTGAACTGATTCCACATCATCTTTCTATTTGCAGTGATTTTTTATATGAATCTGGTCTCATTAAAGATCTTGAAATATGTGTTTCAGACAACGATTCCATTCACCCTTCTCCACGGTGAAGGAGGTCTGGCACCGGGTAAGGGACCGAGATGATTAAATGAATACAGTAAGTGCAGACTTAGCAAGAAAAACTGAATTTTCCCAAACTCAGTTTCATGACTTAATATTTCCAAGGAGAGGACATATTCCTGTCTCACTGCTGTTTGTAACACTTTCCCAACCAACACCCTTGTTACACGCTAAGTGAGGGTTAATGTCCTCTCTTTCCAGTGTAATAATAATATTTTCTGCTGAAAAATAAGAGCTGGAGTCATTTGAAATTAAGGAAAACGTTTTGTGTCCTTGCTGATAAATGGCTTCCAATGATTGCTCCACTCTGTCATCCTGTCCAAACTGTCAGCTTCTTCATGTTAATGATCAGACCCAGTTGTCGCATCCACAGCTCTCCAGGTTTGGTCATGTGAAACGTGAATGACAAACTCAGCGAAGCAGTCAGGACAGACAGCAACACTTGGCTTCCCTTCCTCTAAGCAGCCTTTTATATCTACACCGGCATCTTGATCTAACACTTTTAAAAATGATATTCTTTTGAAATTTTGAACTATATGAATGAAGCCCTTATTAACTGAATACAGTAAATTCCTCTATACATTGTTTCTCGGCTTTTAGGATACAAAAATTACTTTTGTGACTGTTATATGAGAAAACTGGTAGGTATATCTAAAACTGAAACAAAAACTGTCTTTTTGTCCCAAATAATGACATCCTGCTCTTTCTCTCTACTACACGTTTCCATCAATGACACAACCATGTGCTTTACTCTCTTTTAATCTGTCTCCTTTTAAAACCTTTCAAAATGTTGTTCTAATTTGATTGAGAAATGAAAAGGAGTTGAATTGTCTTCACTTCTCCTGGAGTAAGTAATTCTGTAGTAGCTTCTTGGTGCCACTTCTAATTCCCCAGTGTGTGTATGAATTTCCTATTGTATTCATGCAAGAGTGCTTAAGCACAAAAAAGCCGATATAATCCCCACAGTGAAAATTCTAAATGGAGCAATATTTTTAAAATCTGTTTCAATGAAATTCCTAACATTGACTAAATAAAATTTACCATGTTACAAAATGACCCAAAGATGTCGAGTGTTGTTTGTTAAGCTGACTAATCGAAACATGTGATTTAGTTATTTAAATGTAAAAGTTCCAAAGTTTATTTAATTTTTAGGAACTTTTAAAATGTGAAGAAAAGTGCCATGAATTCAAAAAGTAAACCAAACTGAAAATGTACAAAGCATTCCACATAGAGTAGATGGTCCAATGTCTTACCTTCATCATGAATTTCTGTAGGGGAATAAGGAGAAGAGAGAAAATATTAAATATATATTATCTCAAAGACTTATTTTAAAATATATCTTATTTATAAAGACAAGTTATGTGAACAATAAACGTACAAAAACAAAACTTAATATCAACTACATGCTGGAGAAAAGCTGTAGCAAGCAAAACTCTTTAAGAATATTTTTACAGTAGTTCTTCCTTTTTCTGTGAAAACATGCTGCTCTAATGCGTGATTCCATTTACAACATATCTAAGCACCAAAAAATAACAAAAGTGTAGTCTTAAAATTATAATCTGAAAAGGCTTTAAATTTTTTTTTTCATTTCATCTTTGGCATAAAAATGCAGTGATATAAACAACAGCACAACTAATTAGTACAAATAGTGGATTAGAAACAGGTAAGGTAGATGGTAAAGTGCTACAATGAGCTGCTCGTATTCCGTGAAAAATAACTGGACACTACATACTGTGTGAAGTGAATGTCAGAGAAAAAATATCACAAAACCTTTTCTTTTGCTCTTAAACTGACACAGCCTTTTCTCATAGTTGTATAATAATAGCTTTTTTCCTTCTACAAAACATAATATCCACATATATGCCTTCATTTTCTTTTAAGCCCATAAAGGTTTTTAGACTTATTTCTAGGAGACGTCTATAGATGAAAATGAGCTAAGAAGGAAAAATGACATTATGTAGTTTTCCAAGCTCAAAACTAAATTTAGTTGTCACCACATCTAAGTACTACAAAGAAAAGATACACGTATCCACATCAGTTTTATAGAAAACAGCCAGTTTTCTAACATAGATATTTGTAAATACCATGATTCTTTTCCTAAAATATACCTACATAGTAATATGTATACTATTCAATGGCAATTCTATTGTGACTGCATTTTTCATTATAATATCATTTTAAGGAAAAATTGTAAAAAAAAAATTTCATTCTCAGCCTAGAAAATGCAGTCTATTTCGTTACATGTTTGTAACTGATATCAATGGTAAATGATACCAGGAAACGAATTATCCATGTTGAAACTGAATAATTACATGTGATTGATAGTGAGATAGTTTTTATTAAATGAAGAATTACAAAAAAATCATTTTTAAGCCTCACTTCAAAGAAAAACAAAGCTCCAAATTTTTGCTGTGGAACATGGTTTTCAAGATACTTTTATCAAGAGATTTAATTGGTCTTCGTTTTGGAGATTTTTCTTTCAGAAACGTTCTCACTCTTACTTTGTCAGTTATCTAGGCTGAATGACTTTAGAATAATAGCAAGTAGAAAAAGGACTGATCCGTAGAGTTACTGAGATCTGCTATTCATAATTTCTAAGTCGTGTCTGACTGTAGGTAGAGCAAGTCATAGAGTAATCTGCATATATGATAAAATAGAATGAATACTAGAAATTACCAAAGGCTCAAATATCCACCAGTAAAATGCGGGCGAATAGCGGATGTAATGGACACACATTATTTTCAAAAGATAATCAAGGACATTAAAAATTATTTGCATCATTATTGAGATTAACTTTTTGTATAAATGCATTGGTCAATTTAGCTTAAGTGCTGGATATTACCAAAGTTATAACACAATGAGATTTTCAAAAGGGATCATTTAAGGGCAAGGAAAAAAGCAAAATACATGAAAACCAAATGGGGAAATATTTAAATCTCAGTGTAAACACTGCTTAGGTATGCTAAAAAGCAACAGAGAAAGAATAATAACAATGACCTTTTAAAGGTGGATGATGTGATAAAAAGGAGAAAAAAAGAAACCCATGCAGATAAACATAAGTATATTTTTAAATAGCATCAATTTTAGGTGTAGAGAATATGATTTTTATGTTAACAATAAGTTAAGAAAGGGATTATTTTGTTTATTTCTGTCATGAGAATTTCACTAGATGAGCTAAATTTCATTGGACAAGGTACAGAAAGGGATGGCAGTGAAGACAGAGTCCAGGAACCAGCATGGGTTCTCACACTGCTTTCTGTCTCAGAAGAAATTTGAGGATGATGACCAATTTGCACAGAAACACAAAGCGGGGCAGGGTTAGTTCTTTATGGTAAAATTGCAAATGGCAGTAATTCACGGTCCCAGGTTTAGTTTAATTACTTCAGAACTACACATTAAATAAAGCTTCAAATGTGAGCAAGAGTTGGGGGCATAACCCCTATTATGCTGTATGAACATGAAAACCAGGAAGGACATAGAAATCCTTGTTTTAACTCTATATGGATGGTCCAGAGACCCTAATGGATGACAGAAAGCAGCAGAATGGCCTTTGGTGGATAAGCATGAGTCACTTGATCCAGTGGATCTGAAAGACCTCAGGGACTTTCGTAGCATATGCAAATGATTATGTGTAGAAAAATCAAATAGCAATGCTTTATTCTGAAAATTGGAATGCAGCATTGAATATCAAGAGAATGCATAGTTATATTCAATCTGTTACTGGTATACATAGTTATATTCAATCTGGTACAAAGAAAGAAACAGCAATTCAGGTGATGTAAAAAGCTCCTCTACCATAATTATGCCTTCCAGTTCAACTCTGAATTTTTTTAACTGTTATTTCAGTCTTGTGAAATGACAATTGCCTTAAAAAATTAATACTCCTATATGTGGATTTGTCTTAGAAGTTTTAAATGAACCTTTGCTGAAATGTCTTTTCAAAATTATAAAGATAAGGAATTAGCAACAAAGCAACCAAATCAACATTTGGGGGCTAGTAAAAAGAATTATCAATATGATAATCTAAGAGACTAGGTCAAAATTCTGACTGAGGAGTCCTCTAACATGAAATTTCCATGAGGGGGTGTGAAATATTCTACACAAAATAGCCATCCCATTGAAACCTGTTTCGTCATCTTTTCTCTCCCTGTCTCAAGATGCTAGGATTCCCCTTAATCTTCCAACTGGTAACCTCTCCTTCTCAGTGAGGATAATCTCGTAAACTTCATTATATTGAGAAAAAGAGAAGTTATTTCACCACCAAAGTCTTAGGTTTGTTGGTGACTATGTTAAATTAATGATGATCAATGATGCTCCCAACAGATTGTAGGGGACAAAAGAAATGTCAGATGACCAATTTCAAGTAAGTTCCAGGCATATATCAGTATATATTATCCAACAGTACTTGTGGATATGCATGTGTGAGAAACCTCAGCTATTTCTCTCATGATGAAAGTACCCCATGTAAATGCTTCACTTCCTCGGGTTGCCCCACAGAAAGTAGCCAAGCCTGCATTGACTGACAGACATGCTGATGGTAGCCCCAGAGAGCATCTGGAAGGGACTGGTCTTCCAGCCCTTGAAGAGCTGCTGTGCATGTAATGACACCGCCCACATCACTCACATCAGTGGCCATCACTGGTATCCAGTTACATGTGCATGCCAGTATTGTTAAAAATAATTCATTGTGTTCTGTGGGCAGATTGGTGGCAACTGCTGTCTTTTTCAAGCTATCAACAACTCTATACAGACAGCGTTAAAATGACTGTCTCTGCATTTGAGTGGAATGAATTTGACATAAACCTGTATATATAATTATCTAGTTCTGTTTCAGAGGGTAAAGGAAAATAAACATTTCTGGTAAGATGCTATAAATGCTCACACTTCCTCTCTGTGACACATGTTCATAAATCACCGAGCTGTGTGAATGCCTAAACTACGAAGCCGGAGAGCTATCTAGGTAGGGCTTTCTTCTTTTGTCTCAAGAGAGCATTTCTATAAATCCGAAACCACAAATGGAAGTCTACAGAGGATAACGGATAATGATGACCTGAGGACATCTGAAGCCTGCCCTGTCCTCGGACTACCACTTAGAGATGAAAAATTCTACTATATCGGGATATAAAAGAAGATTCTATATATTTTCAAACATGAATGAACCTTGATAACATGAAAGCATTTCACAGACCCACACATAATAGTAGTTGCATGTGAAAATGCATTTTTTAAAACTACTATTGATTTAGGAATATTTGAAAAGGTTTTATATTTTAACAAACACAACCTTTTCCATCCCTTTCTTGTCCCCAGCTCCACCTGTGACCTACCATCCCCGGCCTCCATGTCATAAACCAGTGCATGCGTTAGGGTGCTGGAGGGCTGGGGCTGGGGACTGGACAGAAATGACAGTTAACCAGTTTCTAATCGAGGACTCACAAACGTTATTCTCTCTTGAAACATAAAGAGCAACATTTGTTTATTCTATGGGCTCCTGATGAAACACTAATGCTCAAAGATGCTCAAAGGGACACATGGCGTGGGGAAGAGGGTGGGGAAGGAGAAAGAAAGGCTTATTAAGGTAGATTGAGTAAATTCTGATGAATTCCAGAATTATGCTATCAGGAAATTTATAAAGAAGCCATTTTCATTTCCATTAGAGTTAAGTTTCATAAGGCTCTTAAAAGTCTTGATCTAGGGCTGTTCAATACACTCTGTAGACAAGCAGCGTGTTAAAATGGAACACCTGTCTCAGCCAAGTGATGGCAAATACCATCATACCCAAACCACCCTGTACCACCACCCAAACAGGGACACCAAAGCGGGGCCTGAAAAATCCACTGGCCGCCCTTAGCTGACCTCAGCTCCTGTGTGTCGGAAGAGGTTGGCGAGCAAAGAGATGGCTCCTTAGATAGAGGTGTTGGTGGGCTTGGAGTCCTCCTTCCCCATCCCCAAGCTTGCCCTCACCACAAGCCTAGCGAGGGTGGCTTTGGGGATACCTGTGTCCCTGGGAGCTGGGACACAACTGACTGGTGTGTCTAGAGATGGAGAGGCAGGAGACTGGCTGAAGTGGCCTGTAACAGAAATGCAGGGAACTGGGAAACTGCACTGCCAACAAGCCAGTGGGGGCCACACTAGACCAAGCCACCCTGGGACTGTCTGCAGTGCCACCAGAAGACCCTGAATGAGGAAGTAGTCACTGTTGACCAGATAGAGGTATATGTGGCTGCAGCAAGAATGGCTGCGGGTCAGAGATTTCTGGTGACAGATGCTCCCCCTCCAAAAAACATCCCAAGTGTCCACAGAAAAAGTCAGCTTTAAACACCTGACAAGCCCGATGCATGACACAATCATGGAGAAGCCTGATTCTGCTCACCTTCCTCTTCCCCTGGTCCCCACCATCCCCTGAGAGGGGAGAAACTCCAGGCCCTGAGCAGAGGTAAAGGAACCTAGCAGGGGAAGTGACAGCAGGTCCCCACACCCCCTCCCCTGCAGGCTCCTGCCTGGAAAGGCTGAGCTATCTAGACAAGTTAACTTGGGTTAACTTCAGATTCTCCTATGACACAAGGTTGGGCCTTTTAATTACTGAAATGGGACTTATACGACTTGAAATGGCTGGGGGTGTATCACTGACTGAATATGAGAAAGGCCTCAGGACTCCCCCTAATTTAACCCAAGAGACAAAGGCGATCCAGCCCCACAGAGCTGGTAAGTACGCAGGGGGTTAAATTGTTTCCTGTTGCCCTGCAAGTAACAGGAACAGGTAACAAATTCTACCTGTTTCTACCCCCTCTCTCCTTAACAAATGAGGAAACAGACCATAGTCATAACATGACTTGGCCATATCAGGCAATTTGTCACAGTGCTGGTCCCCAGACTTAGCCCCCAGGATCCTGCAGCTGTGTCTTTCCTCGTGCTGTTATCACTCACCTTCATTTGTAAAAATTGTATAAATATGTCTAACAGCCTTTTTCTATAGTACATGGAAAAATATAAGAGCTAAGCAGCAGGTTTCAAGATTAAACAGTCAAGACTGTTGATAAAAGATATACAATATTAACAATCAAAGCCTTCTTGTTAACCAGAGCATATCATAATTACAAAGCCAATTATATAGGAACTATGTGGTTCTAGGGATGGAGAATATTTTAATATCCCCCATTTCAGCTGAAGCGAAGTCAGATATGTATAAGGTTCTAATGAGAAACCTGTAAAATATTGGTTCATTACAACATAGCACCTATTTTGAAAACTATGAGCACACGAAGAAGCCAAACAAAAAGATTAGAGGCAAGAGCAAACATGCACTCATTTGCATCACAATTTCTTTGTAAATACAGGAAAACACATACCCATTTTTCCACATCAACTTGCTGTGGAAAGAAAAAGCCAAAATAAATAACAAGCAAATAAATACCCAGCAACTTTTCAATTACTGTCATTTAAATAAACTGAAATGTGGCCACTGCACCAAAATCTACTTCCAATGCTGAAGGATAAGAAACAGTATTCAAACTTTTAATTAATAACATTTAATCACCTCAAAAAAATCCCAATTAAGTTAGTAATCAAAACTTCAAAAGACATAAGGCTCGTAATGCACCAGGTACATGAAATAACCATAATTCAAAATATTCAAAAGAAAATGTGAACATTTGCCTAATTCTCAAACCTAATAGGCCTCCTGATTTAGAAACCACTATTCTCCTCTAACTGTAGGAATCTACTTTAAGAAAAAAAGTCAATTTAAAAATACAGCATCCAACTATAACTCTCTCATGAAATAAAAGTAAAATTTCTCTCACCCAAAATTTTTTAGCATTATTTAAACTTCATAATACAACAAAAGGCATACCCTGCCAAATCATTCTGAAATTATATCAGAATCAAATTATTTTAAAATTGTGCTTATGTATGTTAGTCTCAATCATTATGTGACTTTTAAAAATAAGTGAATACAACTATATTCAAAGCATAATATAGAATAAATAAAAAAGCCATGTCAACAAAGATTGTTTTCGCCAATGTGCTAGGATTCCTAACAATTCAATCAGAATAGGAGACTTTCGACATTAAAGGACATGTTGCTCCTATAGTACATGGTTGGTGTCCTGTCAGAGCTGAGGTTCGCTTCAGGCTCCTTCTGCATTTAACTTTATTCATAATTTTTGCCTTAGAAAGTTCATTAATCAGGTAAGAAGCCAATGTTATATAGATAATTTGGGGCCATAGCTAAGCATCCCCCTTAGTAATCAAGCTTCTGGAAAGAAACGTGTAAAATGTAACATTCAGAGTGATTATTTTTTAAATGTTGTAAAGTAATAGAAAAAGGTCAATTTGAATATACAGATGGAATTATTTCGAAGCCCTGGTGAAATTTGATAGATTTGATAGGTTACTTATAGCACAGCATTTTGGATTCGTTAGTAATTTATTTAGTCCTTGGAAAAATCTGTTAAGGGTACTCCCAACCTTTACATTTTAAAAATCCACAATTGTTGTTTTAGAAAGAACAATTTACTGAATGGAAAGGCCTGGTATTTACTATAAATTTTTAAGTTGTTTAGCTGTTGTATAAAGTTCAAGTTCTCATTTTAAACATTAACCTATGAGAGTGACGAATCTGTTTCTGTAGATCTTGGGGCAAAGAGAAGCAATTTAGTAATGTTTAGTGTAATGTACTTATCATTCACTTTTCTACCTTGAAAAGGACAAATTCTTACATTTATCCTTTTCAAAAAACAACGAAAAGAAATGCGAAATTAATTCCTTCTCATATTTATCAGAAAAATAGGATAATGTGCCATACTTTTAATGATTCCAATGATTAGCAAAGACATTATTATCCCATCATTATTCTCACTTCTAAATGTTAAACATTCACATACACACACACATCAGTTCAAAGATAAAGTGTGGTGAGATTGTTCTAGAAGAAAGAGCACTTGTTATCAAGAGTCATGTTACTGGTATTAGTAATAGCAGCTCTTTAATGCTCTATATTACAAAAGAAAAACAGTTTCTTAAGAAACAAGAAAGTAGCAATAACATAACAGACTCAGTATCCAAATGCACAAGAAAAGGCTTAGCAACAGCATGACCTGAGGTGAATTCTGGGCTAAACACACAAGAAAAGACAAGCGACAAACTGTCCACAGAATGAGAACACTGACGGAAGTGCAATAAACGTGTAACTATGCATAAGCAAGGCAGAGTGATTTCGTGACACGTCTCTCAGGAATGTTAATCAGAATCATTTCATCAAATGCCTGCAAACAGTGAAGAGAATGATTTATATGGAGGTAATCAAAGAAGGGAATTATAAAATTCACAATAAACTTAACCATTTTTAGACTTTAAACAACTACCAGACATAAAGCATAGAAGCCAATTGAACATTTATTCCAATAGTTTATTATCCAAATATGTGGGGTTTTCAAAAAGTATATGGACTCCATTAATTCAGAGAAAATAAATATTGTAACAACTGTAGAAAATTATATTCAAAAATTTATCATGTTAAAGACTGGGAAAAGGGCAACTTCATTTTTCAAATAAAAACAAAATTTCCAGTAAGAAAAACAAAACGGTCATTTAAATGCCAAAACAATTTAGCAGAGAGGACATAAGAATAATACAAAAGCAACTTACTCTAAATTACATTATCAAATGAAAGGTTGAACATTCATATGACATCTCTATTTTTGTATTTATATTTTAAATAATAAATTTAGGGCACATAAACAAAACTATTTTATAACGTAAAAGAAAAAAAAGGTGTGGTGGCTTTTTACAAATTGCTTCACTTGTTTTACTGTTTAAGGTGGAGAACTTTATTATTATTATTATTAAAAATCTATAGGTCACAGATTAAGTAGTTACTCTGTTCCAGGCTTTGAGCTAAACACTTCACACATAATCCTGTTGTCTGCATTTTACTTATGAGGAAACAAATGACATATAAAGGCATTACTGAAACCAACCTCTCGAGGCTCGTGCTGCCTGCGCCACTCAGCCAATAGACCGACACAGGAGTTGGGTCATTGAATAAGCGTTTATTATCAGAGCACTGATGGTCAGAGAAGGCAGCGGGTTAACACCTCCAAAAACTGCCTTAACATGCTCACATTAGCCTGGGACATTTAAGGAAAAATCTGGGCATTCCTCCAGAGGCCACATGATGGTTCCATCCATGGGTCTGCAAGGAGCCTACCCTCTGGCGATGCGGCTCTCCAACATGGTCACCACCCAGGAGCAGTGATGGGAGAAACCAGGAAAGATGCGAGGCCATACAGATTGTGATCAGTGGGCATGGGGTAACGTGATCAATAAGCAAGGAGTGCTCTGATCAGTAATAAAGGGGCATTGTGATCAGTGAGCATGGGGTACCGTGATCAATTACCAAGAAATACTGTGATCAGTAATAAAGGGGCACTGTGATCAGTAAGCAAGGGGTATTGTGATCAGGAAGCAAGAGGTATTGGGATCAGTAAGCAAAGGGCATTGCGATCAGTAAGCAAGGTGCACTGTGATCAGTAAGAAATAGGTATTGTGAACAGTAAACAGGGGGCATTGTGATCACTAAGCAACGGGCACTATGATCAGTAAGAAAGTGGTATTGTGATCAGTAAGCAGGGGGCATTGTGATCAGGAAACAAGGGGTATTGTGATAACAAAGCAAGAGGTATTAGGATCAGTAAGCAAAAGCATTCTGATAAGTAAGCAGGGAGCATTGTGATCAAGAAGCAGGAGGCATTGTGATAAGAAAACAGGGGCATTGTGATCACTAAGCAGGGGGCATTTTGATCAGTAAGCAGGGAGAATTGAAATCATAAGCAGTGGATATTGTGATGAATAAGCAGGGGGCATTCTGATCAGGATGCAGGGGCATTTTGATCAGTAAGCAAGGGGCACTGTGATCAAAACTAGGGCATTGTGATGAATAACCATGGGGCATTGTGATCAGTGAGCAGGGGGCATTGTAATGACTAATCAGGGGGTATTGTGATCAGGAAGCAGGGGTCATTTTGATGAGGAAGACGGAGGCATTGTGATCAGTAGCAAAGGGCACTGTGATCATAACCAGGGCATTGTGATGAGTAAGCAAGGGGTATTGTGATCATTGAACAAGGGGTATTGTGATCAATAAGCAGGGGTCATTTTGCTCAGGAAGCAGGGGGCATTATGATCAGTAAGCAAGGGGCATTATGATCAGAAAGCAAGGGGTATTGTGATCATTGAACAAGGGGCATTGTGATCAGTAAGCAGGGAGAATTGTGATCAGGAATAAGGAGTATTGTGATCAAGACGCAGGGGCACTGTGATCAGTAAGCAAGGGGCAATATGTTCACTATACAGGAGGCATTGTGATCACTAAGCAGGGGGATTTGTGATCAGAATGCACGGGCTTTTTGATCACTAAACAGGGATCAAATGATTAAGAACAAGTGGCATTGTGATCAGAAATAAGGGGTCATTGTGATCAGGAGGCAGGGACATTGTGATCAGTAAGCAGGAGCAGTGTAATCACTAATCAGGGAGTATTGTGATCAGGAAACAGGGATCATTTTGATGAGGAAGACGGAGGCATTGTGATCAGTAGCAAGGGGCACTGTGATCATAACAAGGGCATTATGATGAGTAAGCAAGGGGTATTGTGATGAGGAAGCAGGGTCATTTTATCAGGAAGCAGTGGGCATTATGATCAGTAAGGAAGGGGTATTGTGATTATTGGACTAGGGGCATTGTGATCACTAAGCAGGGGGTATTGTGATCAGAAACAGGGGTATTATGATCAAGAACAAGGGGCATTGTGATCAGTAAACAAGGGACATTGTGATCACAAAGCAGGGGGCATTGTGATCAGAAACAGGGGGTATTGTGATCAGTAAGGATGGGGTATTGTGATCACTAAAAAAGAGGTTTTGAGATCAGTAAGTAAGGGGTATTTTGATGAGTGAGCAGGGGGCATTGTGATCAGTAATTAGGGGGTACTGTGATCATGAAGCAAAGGTTTTGTGATCAGGAAGCAAGAGGTATTGTGATCAGTGAACAAGGGGTACTGTGATGAGTAAGCATGGGGCATTGTTTTGAGTAAGCAGGGGGCATTGTGATCAGGAAGAAGGGGCAATGTGATCAGTCAGCAGGGGACATTGTGATCAGGAAGCAGGGGGTATGGTAATTTGTAAGCAGGGGGCATTGTGATCAGTAAAAAAGAGGTTTTGAGGTCAGTAAGTAAGTGGTATTTTGATGAGTGACCTGGGGGCATTATGATCAGTAAGGAAGGGGTATTGTGATCATTGAACTAGGGGCATTGTGATCACTAAGCAGGGGGCATTCTGATCAGAAACAGGGATATTATGATCAAG